TTCTGACGGGAACCTTCGGGTTCTAAACAGTTCTGGTTCAAGTGGAACTAAATGTTCTTTGTTTATGATGCGTTCATAGCAAGTTAGAGACCTGAATCTGGAGGTTGTTCTCAGTCTGGTTCACCAGTTCATCCGTCCCATTTTACCATCGGCCTGTATGAACACATTTCCCAGTATTCATTGCTGCGTTCAAGCTCAGAGCAGAAACAGGCAACAGCAGTATGTATTTTACGGTCTCATTATTTAAGTTCACTGAGGTTAGAGTTCAGAGACTAAAACAGGAACTATTGACTGATTTTCTTTCGTTGTAAAGAATCTAATGTTTGATTCCAGATATCAGATTAAAAACATGTAAATCCCTCCTCCAACTCTCAGAATATAGATTCAAACTGATTGAAATGTTCCTCTGACAATGTCTGCTGGGACAGAGCAAAGGATCATTTATCAATAATCAGAATTCATCTACCTTCCTTTAACGCTGTCCCTCCAATAATCGATCAATATACATATTTCAATCAGCATTCATTTATCTGTGGATGACATTGTAGAAATAAAGCTACAGTTCACTGCCTTTATAAGCTATGATGTAGACTGATTCATATACTTGACTGCTTTAATAAGGAGGTTATTATTGTTGTTGTTGATATTGTTGATGATATTTTAGTGTTGAGCCTGCTGTTCACTGTGTGTCCACATGAGGGAGCTGCAGGATGTTTTAGAATAAACCACAGAGACAAACCAACATGGATCTCAGAAGTCAAACAGACGTCAACAAACTTTATTTCTTTAAGCTTCAGACAGTCAACCCACCAGATGTTTCCTGTTTAACATTTCAAAATAAAACTGGTTATTAGTTTGTCTTATTACTACAGACTGAAGATTGAGACTTTGTTAAACTCAATGTTTAACAATAACAATCAAACTGCCTGTCACTGTCGAGCGTCTGCTTCATATCTGCCTGCTGTTTCTCAGAGGAAATACTGAGTGAAGATCAGATCTCTTTTTGGCTCCACCTACAGGGGGAAGACAAGGAAGCAGCTGAAGGTGCTGAGCCGCCCGTGATCAAAGATCATGTTCCCGTTCCAAAGGGTGACCGAGAGCTGGTCCCCCTGCTCCAGGGCCAGCGTCATGCCATTGGAGGCACTGCTATGCAAGCCCTTGTTGTCTTTGACGGCGAACATGTTGACCCCGTTCTTCATCACCGCTATGTTCATAAACCCCGACTCTCCGGCGCAGCCTGTAATCCGGGCATAGTAGAGTCCCTTCACAGGGGCTGTGAAGATGCCTGCAGTCAAAGAACAGGGAGAAACAGCTCAGAAGCACAGTTCTACGTCCAGCTCACTGTGGCCTCCTGAACAGGTGAGTCGTACCTGTTAATGGGTTGTATGCGTTGCCGATGTTGGTCCTCAGCTTCTTGAATATCACCGTGGTGTTGGTGTTGAAAGGCCCCAAAGTAACCTCGGCTCCATGCTCGACGAGGGCGGCTGAGAATGCCACCTTAAATTTATCTGCAGGAAGACAGAAAGATTTCATTAAAGGGAATTTATTGTGCTCTCTCTATATAAACTGTCTGAAACAAGCCTCGCCCTCCCTTAAAGCCCACTGTCTTCTGATTGGCCAACTGAAGCCTGCTGAGGGGCCCAGTCTTTCACCGATTACTGTATGAAAGCACAACTTTATAACTGTATTCAGTGATTTTGGTGAAACTGGATCAGTTTTGCCACTGACGCCCTCCGGCTGCTCAGCTTCGACTGTATATTTTTTTATATTTCTTACACTTTTTTTTTGGACTGCTATTGGAGTGTGTTTCTCATTGTACATGTGTACAGTGACAATAAAGGCATTCTATTCTAACTTCCAACTGCTGCAGTTTGCACCAGTTGAAGACTAGAGAGGACTGAGTAGTGCAAGTAAAGGTTTACAGTAAGAAAAAGGCTGATATTCAGCTGACACTGAACCCTGTCTGATCAAATATTGTACATTTGTAATACAGAGTCATACGTATGGAGTCAGGGAGTCGGGACGTCACACAATGAAAAGATCTAACATTAACAACTCCTCACAAACCACTGCAAGGCCCCTGCCACGGCCTGTGGACCTCGAGGCATTGGCCCTTTTCCAGGCACATCTCCACTATAACAGGGCTACCCACTTAAACTCGATCATTACTATTAATGTAGTTGTTGCTACTGTACATCTGTCTGTCTGTCTGTCT